GCAAAATTTTAAGTTAGAAACATTTTATCCTTAATTTTGTCGACCGTGATTGGCACAGAATTTTTCATGTCATTTCAATTACAGTAATTACAAAATATTCAAATAACATATTATATAGTAAACATGAATTTCTAAACTTTTAATATCATTTTGTTATATTTACAAATATTCAAATACTTAAATATTTCAAATATGTGCCGCAGATTATATTAAATTGCAAATACAATATAATTCACCGTTTTAACATTCATTTATCATTCTCATTGTTAGATCCACCATTATTCTCTGATTTGTCATTATTTTGGTGGTCACTATTATTAGAAGGATCAGAACTTCCTGTAAATCCACTACCCTTTCCACTACCACCATTACTTCCTTTAACCCAAACTTCGATAACTTTCTTAACATTATCTTGCACCATATGCACAGCATCCATACGTTGTACACTTTCATAAAATCTTTTGAAAAATGCGGTTTGAGTGCCATCACTCCAAGATTCGATATATCTTTTACCTAATTGATAACCTGGTGTGAATGCTCGTTTTATGATACGGTTTGCTGTTATTTTTTATTGAGATAATTAGAATATCTGAAGCATTTTTGTTTTCTTAATACAAAGAAAATTTGACCTACTTTCTGTTTTAGTCCTTTCAAATTTTTCCCCTAAATCAATTTCATATTCTTCTCTACGGTTTATTTAAGATACTTGAATACCAGTTTCTACAACTTTATTCATTTCATAATGCTTCATTGACACTTACGGTTTGACTTGTGGCCATGATGTTCGATTTAGAAGTTCATCATTTTTCATATCTTTAGAAAAAACAATTATATTTAATAACAACAAAAAATCAAATAGCTAATAAATGTATTACGCATACCATACCATCCGTATGTTTTTGACATCCTTCCAATCCTTTAATATAATAAATGAAATATCCATCCAAAAAATTTCTAGGACCAGCTTGGGAGTAATCTACACCCTCTTCATCACCTTCTTTTC